ATAATATATATATAATAAATAATATATATATATAATAATAACTATATATATATATATATAAGTAGAAAACAGATTAGCACGTACATATATAGGAGAATCCCTATAGTCAACGCTGCATTTGAACATAACGAGCGTAGTATTAGGTATGCATTCACACCTATGGGTAACACACTTCGTCAGAGACCACATACATAGACAACCAACATAACTACTCAACCACGTGCCACTCTCCTGCGCAAACTATTGCCACAGATACAAATATGACACACCAACACATATCACACGTGCCATGCTGCACCACTGTAGCACACACACACTACGGTCACAAACGTACACAAACATACACAAACATACACAAACGTACACAAACATACACAAACATACACAAACATACACAAACGTACACATACGTACACAAACATACACAAAATGTACACGAATGTACACAAACACAGCAGACACACAGCACAGTGTGTGTACAGGCGCGTGGGTCTCACCTGCGCGTGGTGGTGTTTGTGATCGTCTGAGCAGTAGTTGGTGTTTGCTTTCGGCGGCAAGTCACAGCCCATGTGATGGCACTTCTGTGGCATTTTTGAGCACGGATAGTGAGGTACAAGCGTGTGAGAGGGGAGTAGATGCAATCTGATTGGTAGTAAATGTAATCTGATGGGTAGTAGATGCAATCTGATTGGTAGTAGATGCAATCTGATTGGTCGGAACGGATAAATAGCACATTCAGTGGCGTCCCGATCCCAATGAGAAGACACTGTTAAAGCCTGAGCAGCTATTTATAGAACGCAACGCACACAAACTAGCAAGGCATCAGTCCGTCTCAAGAAAACAAATAAGTCAAAAGCTAGTTGGTATTTTGGAAGGCATGCATGTGCAAGAGAGTGAACAGGTGGCAATAGGCAGACATAGTCACATCTCAAACACACAAGCCACCACCAATTGGTCACAATCCTAGTGACTGTAAGGGAGTTGTTTGGGTAGACATAAAACCCTAAAACCCTATATCTACAAACAGCAACCGCCTCTGCATGACCTAAAACCCTACAGCGACCATACACCTTTATTAAGACATGGGGCGTACGTGACACACAGTGCGCACGTACATGACATAATAGCTACACACACATACACGATATACACATGATATATATACAGACACTTACACACACACATGATTTAAATAGCCACATATACACGTGTATGGGTCACATACACACCTTCGTCATAGCAGAGTGAGATTTCGGTTCTGACGCACGCTGCTGCTCCTTCTATTGTGCATAGTGTAGATTGGATTAAGCCATTATGTTTTAGAGGATAGTGTTTCGTATCTAATTCGTATCTAAACAAAACCGATCGTCTCTACCAAGAATTTAAACAGCAAGTATCCCATAAATGGCAACACACCCTGGCGGCATTTGCTGTGGCTTTGTGTGTGGCGTGCAGCTGTTTGTGTGCGACTGAGCAGAACCCGGACTTCGCATCTTTAAGTTCAGAACATCCCCTGAGCTTACATTGCTGTAGATAAGCATGCATATACACACATGTACAAGAGAAGCAGTCTAAATAAAACATCCATTGCTGTAGGTAAGAAGGCTGAATAAAACATCCATTGCTGTAGGTAAGCATGCATATACGCACATGTACAAGAGAAGCACAGTCTAAATAAAACATCCATTGCTGTAGGTAAGCATGCTGAATAAGAATCCATTGCTGTAGGTAAGCATGCTGAATAAGAATCCATTGCTGTAGGTAGGCATGCATATACGCACATGTGCAAGAGAAGCACAGTCTAAATAAAACATCCATTGCTATAGGTAACCAAACTAAATAAAACATCCATTGCTGTAGGTAACCATGCATATACGCACATGTACAAGAGAAGCACAGTCTAAATGAAACATCCATTGCTGTGGGTAAGCATGCATATACGCACATGTACAAGATAAGCACAGTCCTAATAAAACATTCATTGCTGTAGGTAACCATGCATATACCCACATGTACAAGAGAAGCACAGTCTAAATTAAACATCCATTGATGTAGGTAACCATGCATATACCCACATGTGCAAGAGAAGCACAGTCTAAATTAAACATCCATTGCTGTAGGTAACCATGCATATACCCACACGTGCAAGAGAAGCACAGTCTAAATTAAACATCCATTGCTGTAGGTAACCATGCATATACGCACATGTACAAGAGAGGCACCGTCTAAATAAAACATCCATTGCCCTGTGAACTCAATCGCACGGGTGATCGTACATAGAACATTGCTGTCATCTGTGGTGTCTGTGACTGTGCGTGGGATATTTACTCTAAAACCCCAAACTCTAAACGCTAAACCCTAGATCGTGGCTTACCTTTGGCTGGGCTGTGTGGCTGCGGAATGTCTTTGGTGTGCGTGGGGTGGTCACATGCTCTTGTGCGTGTGTGTCTGAGCAAAAGTTAGTTTTGCCTGTCGGCAGCTGAGTGCACCCGCGCATGTGGCATTGCTGAATAAGACAGTGTGTTTGTGAGTGTGTAAGATAGATGAAGAAGGAGACACACACACACACACACACACACACACACACATATATATATATATACATATTTATATACAACAACTACACTGAATTGTATTCATATATGTTGTTAACAAGTGATAAGACCATATACTTACACACTTACCCCGATCAGGTACGTAAACTCTCTATACTGTACGGTAGTGTGGGATACCTGAGTGGTTGGCTGCAAATTCTGCTGCTGCTCGTGTTTTGTGGAGCAGTGGTTCATTCTGGTCAATCGGTTGTTCATACATCCCTTGAGATGACAGATCTGACAATTGTGAATATGAGACATACCAATCGTAAATATACGACATTAGTTATAATTGTCAGCTGATTCATCCATCCCTTACGATGACAGATCTGATAATGGCGAGATCAATTGTGAATGTACGACATTACAATCGTAAATATACGACATTAGTTATAATTGTCAGCTGATTCATCCATCCCTTACGATGACAGATCTGATAATGGCGA